CTGTCTGGTGAGCGCACGCGCCCTATAGCGAAAACCTCTCCAAAATAAATAAATTAATTAAATTAAAAATAAAAAAAATAAAAATAAAGGGGGCGAGGGGATCATACTAGAAATCTTTCTTCTCTTACTATGAATATCTTTCCAGGTTAATAAGTCTCTATTGAAACCATTTGACTTAAAAGACATACAAGATTCTACAATTGATTTGTTATCATTTATTCAGTCCTTTCTCTGCTCACAGGCAGATAGATATTCAGGTTGTTTCCCAGTTTTTGTCAATATAAATTATGCTGTAATACTCACGCTTACACCTACGGGTTAATGCGCATTTCCTACAGGACAGACTCCCCAAAGTCGCTCTTTTGTACCTCAGTGGGTACCTCCGAAGGACCTGAAAGCTGTGGCGATGCCCAGGGGTGGTTAACCAAGGCCCTGCCGCGTCACGTGCACCGGGCCTGCAGTTCTCACTGCTCCGGTGGGGAGTGGACAAGACCCAGGCTCCTGAGTGTATGTGAGGGCTTTCTCCCCACAATCTGCTCTTGTCAAATAAAATAACCATAGTACTGCCAGAGGACACGCTAGCTTCCCAGGCAGAGACAGGGGTGGCGGGGTAGGGGGCCTGCTCCATGGGACGTGGTCAGGCCGCAGTCTTCTCTCCTCCGTTTTCAATCCTGTTGGGCTGTTGGCCATGTGCCGACGTGCTCTTCCAGCTGCTGGGGCTGGGACTAGAACTGCAGTCAGTCCTGTGAGGTCTGGCTTCCCTTACCCACTCAGCCACGGGGCTAGCCCATCAGAGTATTTAAATATCCTAAGAAGACGTTATTGCTCTCTATTTTGCCTTATTATTTTTTGTTACCTGAGTAGTTTTTACGTATTAGGTTGGGAAAGTGGCGATGTGTTTGTCTATGCAAACTGCAGCCTGACTTTGCCGACGAGCCGGGACTGTCGTATGACTTTGCATAAGCGGACCAGAGCTGTCTGCACGTGTGAGGAAACAGGGGCAGCACTGGGAAAGATTCGGTAACGAGTGACTTGCCAGCTACGTACTGAGCTTCCCTTGCGCTCCAGACGTGGCCCTGAGCCCTGGGGACACAGCAGTGAACGGGAATGGCATGTTTCACGCCCTCGGAGCTCTAAGGGAGGCCAGAGGGCAAGGCAGACAGAACTCAGAGCTGCGCTGCCCTGAGCCTGGCTTTCGGAAGGAAGAGGCGCCTAAGCGCAAGCCGACACTTACTGGGAGGTGGTTCCTACCATCAGGCGTCAGGCGGTTCTTCTCTTTCTTCCCCACTAGCTGAGAGAAAGCACGCACACCAGAGAGACAAAGTACCCCTGGCAGGGTCTCAGCAGGGGCATGATCTCCTTCGCTCTCCTTTCCCGCTCCCGGCTCTCAGGCCCCTGCGTGTCTGGCATATTTTTCAGGTCGACCCGAGATCCGAACTGCAGACACCACACAGCTTCCAGCATCACAGGGCACAATCGTCACCACTGTGCCACCGCTGCTGGGCCTGGCGGCAGTTCTCCACGCTACGTGAAACTTACTACACTCATCTACATTATTTAAATTCACATTCGGCATAAGGGATGAGAAAAGCTGCTCTGTTTCACTCTCACATCTCATCGATTCTTAAAAAAAAATCATTAAAGATGATGGTAGAGTCACATGCGGTTTTGAGAAATGATTCGGTGAGATGGTAAATCCCTTCCCGCGCTCTCCCTCGTACACGCCCTCGCAGATAACCGCAGTACAGCCCACCGCCAGTCAGCCGACTTGGACGCGATTCCCTGACTTTACGCAAATGCCACCATTTCTCCCTGCACTCAGCTGTGAGCACGTGTGTGTCTGCAATCCCGTGCCGTTTTATCACCCGTGTAGACGGGTGTGGCCACAACCAGTGGGGGCACAGAACA